TTTTTCGGCGAGTTTGCTTACGGATGATGAGTAAAAAACGAAATCCGACTATGATTCATTTAATCTGTTTAAACCAATGTTTCAAGATTTTCTTTCTTTATGATATTTTTAAATGCTTCAAAAAGCACCAGAACCGACCAAAATGATACTCATTTATCAAAAAAAATATATAATTTAGGGAAGGGGTATTAATTCTGTACCATCCCTTGTACAGCTTTTTCAGAAACCCGGGAACGGACCCGATTACTCCATCAACTGTCATGAATCAATGGGTGGAGTGTGAACTAGTAAAACATATCATGCATATATCAATCTTTAGACTATGTATTGAGATTTTTATTTATTTATTTATTTTTTTATTTTTTTGTTAAATTCTATAACAAGTTTAAAAAAAAAACATTTCAAAGTTTTCATTGCTATATTGTCCGGTGTAAATGCATTCTGCAATCTACAAATACAACCTTTTAAAAATAAGGATTGCTTAAGAGAAACAAATTACATTTTGTAAAGTAGTTAAATGATGTATATTCTTTTTTTTCAAGCGTATCAAAAAAAATTATTCCAGATTACCGAAAACCGACTTAAACGATAAATCGGTATATCTTACACCCCTAAGTTAAAAAAACGCTTAAGGAATTAAATGAAGTGATTGAATAATACTTTTAATTTTGTCATTCTTGAAATTGAAATGCAGAAATATGAAAATATTAATGAATATATAAAATGTACGATAAGGACCAAGGACGTCTGTAACGATTTATAAGAAAAGAAAAAAGTGTCTCAATGCAAACTATGTCTTGTTAAAATAGGTTAAAGCTTTATACATGTATGGGTATCTGAGCTAAAAAATAAAAATAAGAGATTAAGTGTAGATCAACATGATATTTGTTATAAACGTTCAAATTAAAATTTTCACCGATTTTGAACTTGAATATCTCCACGTTTCTATAGTTAAATTGACTTTAAACTGTGTCTGTTATTTAAGGACATACGCAACGTAGTTTGAACTTTATTGTCTTTTTCCCTGGAGTTGAAGAGTTCCAAAACTTAAAGGAAATGTGTGCTACATTTTAATGTCTATATATGCTATTGTACACTTCTTCTAAAAGAAGTTTTAATAAACAAAACATCTAGGATATATGTTAAGTAATTTTTGTATATTTTTCTTTGAATTATACGGAAATTTTCATCAATTGATATCTTTTCAAAACCCCTGGTAATGTCTGCTGATTTTTTGTCTACGAACATCTGATGGCACTATAATCTTAAATTAAGAATATCTTGAAAAATTATCAGTAGGTATGGTACACTGCGTATGTCCTTAAATGCGGAATCTGTAAATAAATCGGTTATTGTTTTAAATCTCTGATATCTATGAAACGCGATTGATTTAAATTGTGTAATTTACAGGAAAGTCCTATCTTTATATAAAGTAATAAAACAAATAGAAAGATCTTTTTGATTTTAGTTAGTCTGAACTTATCAAAAATACGCCATATTGAGAAAATAATAAAATACGAGTTTGAATGGGGATGGCTGAAATTGAATTAGGTATCTTGTGGTAAAATAAATAGGAGTGTCCTGTATACGAAACAAGAGCCTGTGATACTGTCATAAAAATTGTGCATTTATTAATTTTGAAAGTTATTAAGAAACTGATTTATCATATTTAACTATCGTAAACGATAGTTTATTATAGAAAATTATAGTACGCAAAAGTAAATTCGCGTCAAAGTACACAAAGTACTTTGATTTACAATTTAGTGGATAATATGCAACTTTGATTTATTGTAATAAAAACTTTGATTTAATATAGTAAAAACTATACTTTACTAAGGTATGTGAGGTGATGTTCATTCCTGTGTCATTGCATGCTCTTTCCTCAAATTTTCAGTGCAATGCTTATTCGTCTACTATTTGATAGGTACAATGCTAATTGTTCCAATTGGCAATGCAATGCTTATTTTCCCATTCTTTGATTGACAGTATCTTCTTTATTTCTCTCAATGAAAATACAATTACGTTATATTTCCATTAGTGAACTCTTCAAAATTAGAGGCGCATTTGGTCGTCTGACAGGGACAGCATGGCGTTGCGGATAATACAAAACATACCAATCTCAATCCGATTTTTAATGTTAAATGTATTTGTCATTCCAATTAAAGAATGGAAGAACTAAAAGACATATGTAAGAGAGCGAGAACCCTAAATTTATCATCCATTAATAAAAAATACGACTTTTCCGAGGCATGTATATTGTATTTAGATGTAGCATACGATAAATAGATACATACGATCAACAATATAGATATAAATTGATATCGTTGTCATTCCTACTCTTGATGTATATAAAGTCCACAACAATAAAATATTTCATTTGCATTTCCTTAGGATTTGTTCATCGACATTCAACATACTGTTTACATGTTTACGTTACGTTTGTCCCTGAAATCCCGCGAGATTTGTACATTTACCGACTTTTTCACAAAAGAGCTCACTAAGAAGTATAACTCTTCCATAGTGGAAATAGAACGTATTTTATGTGATTGGCTTCGGTCGATTACAATTGATTCCATGTGAGGCATTCGGCTAATGTAACCAGAGGTGACGTGCTGCTTGTTGTCCCCTGCTTTCGCGAAAGCGAGGGGACATTAAATCTCATTCGTCTGTCAGTCTGTCCGTCTGTCAGTCTGTCTGTCACAAAAAACTTTAACCTTGGTCATAACTTTTGAATGAGAAGAGATAGGACTTTCATATTATATTTGTGTATTACCTGTGACAAGACCTATCTAAATACACTATGATTTTTTACCCCGTGACCTTGACCTTGAAGTTTGACCTACTTTTCAAAGACTTTAACCTTGGTCATAACTTTTGAATGAGAAGAGATAGGGCTTTCACATTTCACATGTGTATTACCTGTGACAAGACCTTTCTAAATACACTATGATTTTTGAGCCCTTGACCTTGAACCTTGACGTTTGACCTACTTTTCAAAAATGTTATTTTTTCCTTATAACTTTTGATTGAGAAAAGATAGGGCTTTCATATTTGACATGTGCATTACCTGTGAAAATATATTTCCGAGCATCTATGATTTCTGACCCCTAGACATTGACCTTCATGTTTACCTAATTTTCAAAAAAATCAACGTTGGTGATAACTTTTGAATGACATAATAGGGCGTTCATATTTGATACAATATGCCATAAATAATGACATCTCACCCACAAAGACACCGAAAGCGGGGGACCACAATTCTTTGAATTTGCTTGTTTTACTATGCTGTCAGATTCATGTAAATCTACCATAACGTGTTAAGTATTAAGGAGCTTTTTATTTACTTTGAGATGCAAATACGTATATGGTGCACAAACTAATATTTTCTTTATATGCACGAGAATTTCAAGAATTTCATCAATTTCCAAACCGAAGTACATCCTTTCCCTTAAGAGAAAAGTTTATTCATTCATTGGTGTTTTGAGTAAGTGTAACTCGTACATTAATTTCTTCTTTATTAGGTAATTGACTGTACTGTACATTCTGTGCTATTACTTAGGCACATAGATCTGAATATTACATTCCTCCATCACTTCCTTTAAAATGAATATTTGTGTCATCCGTCATGTTATTCCTTCTTCTGTGCAATGCTCAGTCCTCAAAATTACATACGTAACTGTGCATGCTACACTTTTATATAACTTAGAAGAAATCGTATTGTTCAAATATTTGTTAAAACTTAAAACTCATTTCAATGGTGATTTTTTACTAATTTAAAACATCGAAATAACAAAGAAAGAGAAATACATAAAACAAAAACTACAATAACAACAAAGAACGATTACTAATACGATATATTAATGGACACGTTTTAAATTACTTCAATTCCGAATTAATAAAATTGCATTAAATACATTTGGTCTCCGAAATTCGAAAAAAAAAATGCATTTTCAAGTGATTTAAAAAATATAGGGATATGTCACATGCAACAATTCGATACAAAAGTTTGTTCGTTAAAACAAGACAATATTCATGTTTCTACAAGACATAGTATTAACCTCAATTTTAACGTCGATATTAAAAAGAAAAACAAACAAAATCCAGATTGAACAGTTATTTTAATGAGTGATGAATGTCATTCAAAAAAGTAACAAACCATTCGTTGAATTTCATGATTTTTCCTTATTGTTCTCGTCGCATATAAATTATTTCTAACATTTTATCACGAACATAAAAATTCAATTCGAACCAATTTCGCTACGAGAAACAAGGAGGTCTTCCGTCTGATGAGCAGTGACAACAATCGACTCAAAACCGGAAGTGAATATTTCAATTTTCTGAAAAATAAAATAAATTCATGTCGACACGATTATCCTGTAAATTATCTGTCAATCAGCATTATACTTGTTGAGATTGACTGTCCTTGAGGACAGATGACACAAACTTTTTTTTCTTCAAAAATCATGAAAATAACACCCAAAACCATGTTTATTTAAGTACATAACGAACAAGTTAACCGCATATATTTTTTATTTTTCATTCAAAGTTTCCCAATAATGGCATATAAAGTGATTTTTTAAAAAAAGTGTATAGATTTACATGTATAAGGGTAACGGCAAAAAGGTAGAATACCATTACTAACTAAAAATATTCTCATAACTTATCCTAAATCGTTCTCAAGATTTCCCTTAAAAATCATTTTAAAATCAGAAAATGATCCTTTATATGGATTGGAGGTAAAATTATTTTGATATTCTGCTACCGTCGAAAAATGATTCATATCATGGCACCTTTGTTCCGTACATTTTCTCAAAAAAACGTAATATTCTTCACAAAATAACGCAGAATTTCGATGAAAATGAATAAATAAATTTAAAAAAAAAACGTAAAATCTCTGAAAAGGTTTCCCGAAGACGGAAGGCATTCATGGGATAAAAAGCATACAATCAAAAGTCAACAAATAAATTGATTAGATATATTATGACATATTTTACCACCATACATATGTAAGTATTGCAGATTTTATTTTCATGTAATAAAATCTGTCATCAGAGTTCCATTTTCACTTAAATCCAAATACATTAAACAGTTGGAGAAGTTTGGATCTACTGTCATTTACAGTTACTGTATCATTGCGAGTGTGCACTAGTTTTGATTTCTTTGATCTAGTAGATAATGTACACTTGATGTTTGTCAGAAAAGTTAATATGGGGAACACTTCTTTCATTTTGTTGAGATATTTCACAAGTTCAAACGTATTGTAAGTACATTTTATAGGATTATTTCTTAAATCAATGATGACAGGAACTGGTCCATCGATGTAAGAAGCTATATTTCTAGGTACATCAGCTATTTTGTTATGTTGAAGATTCACGAAAAAGATTTTTCGACGCCCAAATACCTTTGGCTTCTCGAAAGCAAAACTCCGAAGAAGGTTGTTTGACAAGTCGAGAATTTCTAAAGCTGGAAAATGTTTGTGCCATTGCCTAAGATGTTTTGGCAAATGAGTCAAAAGATTTGATGAAAAATTGAAAGTCCTCAGGTTTGGATAATTTGAAATATCTGTCATAACTTCAAAATGAATGGAAGAAATACTGTCACTCTTCGATTCTTCCAGATGGAGTAAGTTGTGATAGTTACAGGCATTTTCACGATTTTTCGATTGTCGACGCATAGCTGAAAACGCTCTGTCTAGAACGTTAAGAGGGGGAGGGGACGAGGTAGGTAGAAAGGAAAACGAAATATTCCTCATCACGTGACTCCTGACCGTCTGCTGTCCACAGTTGTAGGATTTTGATACCCGGGTAAGCAAAGTCCTTTGAATGTTTGAATTAACGTCAGTTTCTATGGTGCAGTCAATCATTGAAATATCAGAAAGGGTATCCGGATATATTGGGTCTTTATTATATTCGGAAAAGTAACCTTTTATGTTACAATTCTTCATATGAAACTTTTTAAGTCCACGAGCTCTCATGGGCCACGGGAGGAAAACGGTGCCGCTCCCAAGGCATTGGAGGTTCAGCTCAACATGCTTTACCGGACTTTTCACGGAATCCAGCCAAGATCTAAAGTACAAAAAGTTCCACTGATCATGTATGGTAAATGAACAAAAAATGTAACCATTTACAGGGCTATAGCAGCTCCGGATTCGTTGCATTGACTTCGCTGTCCGTATCAAACTGGGTAGTGTGAGAATTAACAAAAACACGTTTCTGCAATGTGAAGCCATTGTTGTATTGACTTGGACTGGCTTTAGAACAAATTGTTTGGAATATACATTCCATGTTTTAGAATCATGTTTTTATAAGAGACATATAGGGTGTGTATTACGGACGTTTCCTTGCAGGAGAGCTTGTGGTTAATTTTAGAGTTACCAATCATGACATCTTTAACTCGGTCCTTGTTTATAATTGAGAAGTATGTCATGCACTAAATTGTTCTTATTATTGGAACAAGGATGTCTATTCGTTGGTTTGGGATCGTGAATGCTAATTGAGTAGCAATATTCTGATGTTTGTGGTTTGATAATGGAGCTCAAAATATGCTTTTTGCATAAAATAAAATGATAAAAGTTAGCATTCCAAGAAAAAATACTATCAAAATATTTCTTGCAATTATGAATATTGCTATTCAAAGATTATAATTCCTTCCTTTTCAAAATTTAATAAACTAAAAATAAAATATTTCTCGCATGAATAATTCATTATCACCTTTTATTCTTTCTTTTTTTTTTTTTTTCTTTTTTTTTTTCTTTTTTTACATCATATTTACTTCAGTTTGTGTAATCTGCAATTTATTTGATTATGTAGATTTAAAAAAATAAAATAAAGAAAAATGATTTTGATTGTTTATGAAACACTTGCTAATTGCGATTGATGATTTCCTTTGAAACTCCAAAACTTATCATTCAAACTATTTTTTTTTTCTTCCGACTTGCTGACTAATTAATGCAAATAAAGAAGATATTTCTAAAGTGACACTTGAACGAAAAATCCCTGAGACTGATTAATCGAAACAAATGCAGCAACCCATAATATGTCTTCATGCATTTATAAGGAAAGCGGAAATGCAAAAGAAATTAATTTCATATATATGGATAGCTGAATCATCACGTGATATATAGAATGCATTCTGATTAGTTGTGAATTTTTAAATATTCGATAAAAAGGCCACGTCGAACGTCATAGATCAGGATGAAGTTACAAATCTGATTTCTATTTCTTTCTTTTTTCAACTTGACAGATATTGTAAATGATTTATCATAAAATGACTATCCAATATTTGCAATTTTTCAGAGAGGTTGACCTAGTAAAAATTTAAATACTTGTACATGTAGTTTAATATTTTAGAATCATCAATTGTGTGTTATTTTAATTTCACTAATTTCAGAGAGAATATTCCTTATTTTAATATAAATACATAGTTCAATGTTTGGAAGAAAATTTAATGAATTTTTAATAATTTTACCTTTTTCTTTCTTTTTTAAGATTAAGAAGTTGAGCGTTAAAGTTATGTTATACAAAATATTTGATAAATTCTTTTTTTTTGAAATGTGTTTGTATTTATGTGACCAAATATTCATACAGAATAATTTTTGTATTATCATTTTAAAACCCAGAAAAATGGATTAATTAAGAGTCACTAGATCATTTTTTTAAATTCACAAATTATATGTTGTTATGTTTTTGGTTCCCCGCTTTCGCTGAAAATCGGGGAATATTGATTTAATTAGGCCGTCTTTCTTTCTGTCTGTAACACGTCATTTTCCAGATGAACTTTCTTAAAGCCCTTCAGCTATTGCAATGAAATCTTATACAGTAACTCCCTGTGACGAAAGGATGATTTTGATATCAAAAGATAAAAGGCCAAGGTGTAAAAATTATGTATTACATAAAATGCAGGCACGTAACATCGGGAGGGGGTTGTCCCTTTTTTTGAAACATGAATTTTAACTGTTAATTTACTATATGAAAATGTTCATTGAAAGACGGTTGCCCCCTCCCCCACCCCCACCCCTTTCACTTTTTGTAGTGTAGTGAAATCCGGTTTCGTTGTTTTGTTGTCATTGATAATATCACCAAACAAAATGCATATTGTACATGAGACTTCTTGGTATTGATTTTTTTATGGTTAAATAATAGAAATGAAAGTTATTTCCAGTCTAATAAATACTAGTACATGACTTGATAATCAAATTTGAATCAATATGTTGAAAGGGGGGGGGGGGGGTGAAAACTGTGAATTTAGTCTCTTGTCGGAAATTGAACTTTTGAACACAAAACATTGTAAGTTTACTCCGACAATTGAAATTCATTTTAATTTTAACTTTCAATGCAACGCTTATCAATTAAGCATTACGAAAGTGCTTTTTCGGCAATGACTTTCTACATACAGCATTGAATTGAAAAGTAATTGCGTTATAATTTTTTATCAACCTTTAAGACGTTTTGATTCTGAGATTCAATTAAATGGCATACACCAACCTTGCATTGCAGAAGTTATTAAAGTTTCAATTATGCCCTGAAAAAAAGCAAAAGTGGATTGAAAATTACTTCGAATTAAGACTCAACCCAACCTTTTACGGAGGTCCGAGCTGAATCATATCACCCATTTCACTGTCTGCCGTCAAATGACTAGGTTTCCAATCTTGCTATTTATAAAATGTCCTAAAATCTACATCATCCCTATAACTTAAAGAAAACTCCTATTAATTTTGACGTCAAAGATCATGGTCAGAAATTCATATATATATATATATATATATATATATATATATATATATATATATATATATATATATATATATATATATATATATATATATATATATATAAAGCACTAAAAACCAACAACACTGTATATCCTAAGTGTCGGATCTACTAAGTAGATACAAGGTCACGGATGGAAATTTATACAAAGCACTAAAAATGACCAACGACACGAACAATAATAATTGTCAAATTTTCGGGACAACCTGTCCCTTCCTCAGGACAAAGAAAAAAGTTAAGAAGTCATAAAAACAAAGGAAATAGAGAAGCAAAAACAACTAGCACTACTACTAAACTACCAAACACTAAATATTTACAAGGTTACATGTTTAATTTGGAGTTTATAAACAGTTGTGAACAAAGAAATCCGGAGCGCTAAGAATTGCGTCCGGTCTATCGGGTGTACTCGGTGAAGTGTGATTTACATAATTGAACGAATTAATTATCGCTAATTAATTACGGCCAACAGTAAATCGTACATTGTCTTATTCTCTCAAAATAGCCAAGGTATGCCAGGTCGCCCTATAGTTAGCGCTATTGGACACCCCACGGAGAAAATTTCTGAATACATCGATTTACATATCCGTCCACACGTAGAGAATTTGCCATCCTATCTCAAGGACACCACGGACTACATCAACAAGACGCCCTCTACTGGCCTTCCAGATCATACCCTTCTCGTGACTATGGACGTCACATCTTTGTACACCAATATTCCGCACGATGAGGGTATCGAAGCCTGTAGAGAAGTCTGGGATAGTAGATACAAATTCCTTCTACCGGGTCCCTTGCCAAGCTCCTTGAACATGTTCTCAAGTATAACAACTTCATGTTTAATGGAGAACATTACCTGCAGGTTAATGGCACTGCTATGGGTACGAAAATGGCACCATCTTATGCCAATATTTTCATGGGCAGACTGGAACGCAACTTGCTACTTCAAGCACCATTTAGGCCCCTTAGCTGGTTGCGTTTCATTGACGATATAGAGATGAAGTGGGTGGAATGTCGCGAGAGCCTCGAGGCATTCATTTCGTTCGCCAACACCTTTCATCAGTCTATCAAATTTACAGTAGACGTATCTAATTCGAAAAACATATTCCTAGATACTACATCTACCCTGACTGATGGTGAAATCGAGTTCAGTCTCCACACGAAACCCACAGATTCCCATCTGTATCTTATGCCAACTAGCTGTCATCCCCCGCACACATTTAAGGGTGTGCCTAAGGGTCTAGCCACCAGAATTCGGCGCATCTGTTCATCCCCTGCCTTATATCAAGAACAAAGCGGTCTCCTTAAGTCCCACTTATGCAAGAGAGGCTACAATGCCCGCACCGTACAAACTGCTATTGATGAGATGGCGGGACATGACAGGCAAAACCTATTACGCTACAAGGAAAAAGACAATAGCGGCAGGGTCCCTCTAGTTACTACATACCATCCCGTCCTTAAGAACCTCAGCGGTATCCTTCAAAAGAATCTGCCAATTCTCCACTCAAATAAACGAATTGCAGAGGTCTTTAAGGAGCCCCCATTGGCTGCATACAGGCGCCCGAGGAACCTGAAGGACATGGTAGTAAGAACCAGATTGGACAATCCATTACCTAACGGGGGCTTTAAAACTTGCTCTGACAGAAGATGTCTTCTCTGTAAGTACAGCTCTGACACAGACAGTTTTAACAGCCCCGTTACAGGCCGCAGCTACAAAATACTAGGGAATTTGTCCTGTCAAACAGACAACTGCATTTATCTCATCAGCTGCAAAGTTTGCTCCAAACAGTATGTTGGTGAAACAGGAGATCTCCGCAGGAGAGTCAATAATCACCGTTCTACCATTAGGACCAAAAAACTCAATGAACCCGTTGGGGAACATTTCAACCTTGAAGGTCACAAATGGGAGGACATGACAGTAGTGGTTATTGACCATAATCCAAGATGGACAGACGCGCAGAGAAAAGGCAAGGAAAAGTTCTGGATGCACAGGCTAAAGTCATTCCGCCCTAATGGTATTAACAAACTTAATGACTTCACCAGGATGAACGTGAACTAGACCCAATCCCGAATTGTAACAAACAAGTTCATTCTCTCTATATAGCGTAAACTTTACCGTTAATTCGTATTAATAATCCTGGAACAACCTACCCAAATATTTACAGCTCACATTTTTGTTTATTTCTTTTTTCCGATTTCCAAATTTATAATATATCCAAATTCATATTTCAAAATTGTCCTTCCATATTATCTTTCTTTAATTTCTTTTTATCATGTAGAGTTACGCTATTTTGAGAGAATAAGACAATATGTACGATTTACTGTTGGCCGTAATTAATTAGCGATAATTAATTCGTTCAATTATGTAAATCACACTTCACCGAGTACACCCGATAGACCGGACGCAATTCATAGCGCTCCGGATTTCTTTGTTCACAACTGTTTATAAACTCCAAATTAAACATGT